TTTGAGATAGCGTCTCACTATGTAGTGCACGCTGCCCTTGAACTACGTAGCCCAGGCTGGCCTCAGACTGGCAGTGATCCTCCTGCCTCAGCCTTCCACGTACTGGGTTTACAGGTGTGTGCGGCCACACCTGGCAGGGTTTTGTTTTGTAGTTTACTTTGACCTTGAACTCACTCTGTAGCCCAAACTGGCCTCAATCTCATGTGAATGCTCCTGTTTCAGCCTCCCGAGTGCTGGGATTACAGGTGTGCACACCAAGCCCAGCTACTTATCACCTTTTTCAGATCCAACCATTTTCTGACCCTTCTGCTGCTCTCGGGTTCGTGTTCCAGCTCGCCCCGCGCCTTGGCCTATCTGAGAGTCAGATCACTGCAATTTAAATTTTTGTTCATCATTTATGTACAGAAGCCGGATTCTTTCTGTGGATTCTGATCACAGCTCCCATCTCGCTTCCCATCACCCGTTCTCCAGCCTGCAGTTCATGATGTTTTTCCAGAAACCCACCGATCCCATCAGACATTTGAAAGTCGCACCAGTTTTGAGTCGCCGCTGGGACGAAGCGCAAAGCCGACTGGAGGTTTACAGGCCCTGCACTGCGCAGGCGCTGCCTCGGGCCTGTCTGCCGCCCCTTCTGTGTGTTCTGCGTCATACCTCCTGTGCCTCCTGCCGCCTCCAAAAGTGCTACTTTTTCTGGAAATCTTTCCTTCAGCAAATTTTCGCCTTTACTATATGGCCAGGCGCTCTTCCTGAGCTCTCCGTGCATTTACAGTCTGGAGAGAAACAGAGTTTTAAAAAATCAGCTCAAAAAAAAAAAAAAAAAAAAAATCAGAGCGAGTGCACATAACATTACAAGGTAAAGATGCCGGGCGTGAGGGCGCACACCTGTAATCCCAGCACTCAGGAGGCTGAGGCAGGAGCGTCATTGCAAGATGCCCCCCTGGGCTACAAAGTGAGTTTAAGGCCAGCCTGAACTGCATAGTGAAACCCTGTCTCAAAAAAGACAAAAATAAAACAAAACAAAAAAACGCCATGTGGAAAAGAGCAAAGCACAACCAGCAGAACTGGGTAGCGTCGCTCGATGGAGACAGGGACGCAGCAGCAGGTTTGGCCTGGGTTTGGAATTTCTGAAGTCCCCGGTAAAACCAAACTAGGGCTGGGAAGGGAGCTCAGAGATAGAGCACATGTTAGCGTGCATGAGAGAGGCCCTGGCACTCGGGAGGCTGAGGCAGGAGGATCATTGCCAGTTCGAGACCAGCCTGGG